AGTTGTGATTTTTGTAAAATAAAGATGTTGTGGAGGATGCGCTCAGGGGTCTTTGGGGGTCTTTGGGGTCTCGGGGGTCGTGAGGGTCTTTAGGGAGTCTCGGGGGTCTTTGGGGTCGTGGGAGGTCTTTGGGGTCTCGGGAGTCTCTGGGAGTCTCAGGAGGTTCAGGGGGAGTTTTGGGGGTCTTTGAGGTTTCGGGGGGTCTTTGGGGGCTCTTGGGGGTCTTTGGGGATCTCGGAGGGGTCTCGGGGTCCTAAGGGGGTCTCAGGGAGTTTCTGGGGGGTCTTGGGGGATCTTTGAGGGTTCTTTAGGGGTCTCAGGGGGTCTTTGAGGGTCTTGGGGGTGTCTTTGGGAATCTCGGAGAGGTCTCGGGGGTCCCAAGGGGTCTCGAGGGAGTTTCTGGGGGTCTTTGAGGAGTCTCGGGGGTCGCCAGGGAGTCTTTGAGGGAGTCTTTGGGGGTCTCGAGGGTCGCCGGGAGTCTTTGGAGAGGTCTTCGGGGGCTTGGGGGTTCTTGAGGTGGTCTCAGGGGGTCTTTGAGAGGTCCTTGGGTCGTGGGGGGTCTTTGGAGGGTCTCAGTGGGGTCTCAGGGGTCTTTGAGAGTCTTGGAGGGGTCTTGAGGGATCTTTGGGAATCTCGGGGTCCTAGGGGTTCCCAGGGGTTTCAGGGGGTTCGGGGTTCAGGGGGTCCAGGGGGTTCCAGGGGGTTCCCAGGGTTCCCGGGCATTCTCGGGGTCTCAGGGGGTTCTAGGGGTCTCAGGGTCCCAGGGGTTCCAGGGGTTCCGGGGGTCCAGGGGTCCTGGGGTTTCGGGAGGATCTCAGGGGTCTCAGGGATCCCGAGAGGGTTCTCAGGGGGTCAGGAGTCTCGAGGGGTCTCAGGGGTTCCGGTTGGTTCCAGGGTCCCAGGGGATCTCAGGGAGTTCAGGAGTCTCGGGGAGTTCCAGGGGTCCCATGGGGGTCTCAGGGGTTCCAGGGGGGTCCGAGGGGTCTCAGGGGTTCCCATGGGTCCCAGGTGGAGTCTCGGTTTTCCTAGGGGTCCCAGGGGTTCCTAGGGGGTTCCCAGGGGATCTCAGGGGTCCCAGAGGATTCCTGGGGGTTCCAGGGGTCTCAGGGGGTCCCAGGGGTTCCGGGATTCCCGAGGGGTTCCCCCTCTCCCGCAGGTGGGCGTGGCCTCCCCCCTCCCAAGCCCCGCCCCCTCCCTCCCCATTGGCCACCTACCCTCCAAGCCCCGCCTCCACCCTCCCTGTCACTCACAGCCCTCCCCGCCCTCCATTGGTTGATTCCGGGAAGGGGAGGGCCGGGACTTCCCTCCTCCCTCTCCTCCTCGCTTCCGCTTCCCGGTCAGGCCCTCACCGTCCCCTCTCCGGTAACTTCCAGGTTTCGCCGCCGCCCCCGGCCCAGAGCGACCCTGGGACCCCAGGACCCCAGGACCCTCCAGGACCCTCCAGGACCTCCAGGCACCTGAGACACCCCAGGGGCCACCGCGAGTCGGCCCGCCCCCGGATCCGTGAGGGAGGAGCCCCCCACACCAGGACCCCCAATTCAGGACCCCCAAATCCCGGGACCCCCAATCCAGGACCCCCACCTCAACCCCGGGGGTCCCTCCACGCCCCAGGACGCTCCGGAGAGCCCCGAGCTCAGGACCCCCCAAAAATCCCTCAGAGACCCCCGAAATTCCCCCCTCAGAGCTCAGGACCCCCAAAGACCCCCTAAAAGCTCAAGCCCCCAAAAAATCACCTCAGAGGCTCAGGACCCCTAAGCCCCCTTAAGAGACCCCCCTCAAAAAGCTCAACCCCCCCTCAGAGCTCAGGACCCCCAAAACCCCAGGACCCCCAAAATTCTTTCTGACCCCTCAGGAACCCCCAAAAATCCCCCTTTAAGCCTCAGGACCCCCAAAAACTCAGCCCCCCACTCAGAGCTCCAGGACCCCCAAAACCCCAGGACCCCCCAAAATTCTTTTTACCCCCTCAGGACCCCCAAAACCCCTAAAAACCCCAAAACTCTTCAAAGCCTCCCAAGAATCCCCAGAGCTCAGGACCCCCAAGAACCCCTCCAGGACCCCAAAATTCTTTCTGACCCTCAGGAACCCCCAAAATCCCCGGACCCCCAAAGCCCCTAAAGACCCCCAAAATTCTTTTCCCCCCAAAACCCCTAAAGACCCCCAAAATTCTTTCTCCCCCAAAGAACCCCTAAAGACCCTCCAGGACCCCCAAATTCTCCCCTCCCCAGGACCCCTAAAGACCCCAGGCCCCCAGGACCCTCAAAAACCCCAGGACCCCCAAAATTCTTTTCTCCCCAAAACCCTAAAAACCCCAAAACCCCAGGACCCCAAAACCCCAGGACCCCCAAAACTCCCATAAAGACCCCCAAAATTCTTTTTCCCCAAAAAAACCCTAAAGACCCCCAAGCCCCCAAATGGAGCTTCCCAAGGGAAGCGGGAGCTGGGAAGCTCCTGGTGACTCACTGCTGGATTCCAAGGATGAGCTGGAGGGTGAGGGGAATTTTTGGAATTTGAGGGAATTTGGGGATTTTAGGGAATTTTGGGAGGTAGAGGGGATTTTAGGGAATTAGGGGATTTTAGGGAATTTAGAGGGGATTTGAAGGATTTTAGAGAGGATTGGAGTAATTTGGGGGGATTTTGAGAGGATTTGAGGATTTTGGGGAGTTGGAAACTTTGGGGGGGATTTGAGGGATTTGGGGATTTTGAGGAATTTTGGGGAATTTGAGGATTTAGGGATTTTGGGAGATTTGAGGGGTTGGGAGTTGAGACTTAGGCGGGTGGGGGGATTTGAGGGGAATTTAGAGGAGTTTTAGGGATTTTGGGGGGATTTTAGGGGGATTTTGGGAGGATTTGAGAGATTGGGGAATTTTGAGGGAATTTTAGGAATTTGGGAGGTTAGAGGGAATTTTGAGGGATCTTAGAAGAATTTTGGGGATTTTGGGAATTTTGGGAATTTGAGGGAATTTGGGGGTTTGAGGGATTTTAGGGAATTTGAGGGGATTTTGAGGAGTTTTAGGGATTTGGGGGAGTTTTGGGGGATTTGAGGGGATTTGGGGGGGATTTTGAGGGGATTTTAGGGGGAATTTGGGGATTTTAGGGATTTTGGGGGAATTTGGGGGGATTTGGGGTTTGAGGGATTTGAGGCGGAATTTGAGGGGATTTGAGGGGAAGTGGGGGATTTAGGGGATTTTGGGGAATATGGGGGGTTAGAGGGGGATTTGAGAGAATTTTGGAATTTTCAGGGGATTTTGGAGGGAATTTGGGGGATTTTAGGGATTTTGGGGGGTTTTGGGGGGATTTGAGGGGATTTTGTGGGATTTGAGGGGATTTAGGGGGATTTGAGGAGATTTTAGGGGGGATTTGAGGGGATTTTGGGGATTTGAGGGGATTTTGGGGGGATTTTGGGGGAATTTGGGGGATCTTTTGCCTCTGGAATGATCCCAGAGTTTTCCAGGATTTGGGAATGCTCCTGATCCTCGTTATTGAGGCTCCAAATTCCCTGGAATTCCCACTGGGATGGTTTGGGATCTCCCTGGGAGCTGTTCCAGGGGGTTTAGGGACGTTCCCAGGCTCCAGGGATGTTCCCAGGATTCCCATCCCGGTGTCATTCCCTGTTTTCCAGAGGCTGGAGCGCTGTGTTGGGATCGTGAATTCCCACTGGGATGGTTTGGGGTCTCCCTGGGAGCTTTTCCAGGGGGGTTGGGAATGGGCTGAGGGTCATTCCCAGGATCTGGGAATGCTCCTGATCCCCATTATTGAGGCTCCAAATTCTTGGAATTCCCAGTGGGATTTTCCTCCTGGTATGGTTTGGGGTCTCCCTGAGATTCCAGAGGGGAGGTGGGAACATTCCCAGGATCTGGGAATGCTCCTGATCCTCAGTATTGAGGCTCAGAATTCCTGGAATTCCCATTGGGATTTTCCTTCTGGGATGATTTGGGGTCTCCCTGGGACACCTGGGAGCTGTTCCAGGGGGGTTGGGAAGGGGCTCCCAGAGCTTTCCAGGATCTGGGAATGCTCCTGATCCTCGTTATTGAGGCTCTAAATTCCCTGGAATTCCCACTGGGATGGTTTGGGATCTCCCTGGGATGTTCCAGGGGGATGGGGATGGATTTAGGGTCATTCCCAGGATCCAGGGATGTTCCCAGGATTCCCATCCCGGTGTCATTCCCTGTTTTCCAGAGGCTGGAGCGCTGTGTTGGGATCGTGAATTCCCACTGGGATGGTTTGGGATCTCCCTGGGAGCTGTTCCAGGGGGGTTGGGAAGGGGCTCCCAGAGTTTTCCAGGATCTGGGAATGCTCCTGATCCTCGTTATTGAGGCTCCAAATTCCCTGGAATTCCCACTGGGATGGTTTGGGATCTCCCTGGGAGCTTTTCCAGGGGTTGGGAATGGGTTGAGGGTCATTCCCAGGATCTGGGAATGCTCCTGATCCTCGTTATTCAGGCTCCAAATTCTTGGAATTCCCAGTGGGCTTTTCCTCCTGGGATGATTTGGGATCTCCCTGAGATTCCAGAGGGGGGGTGGGAACATTCCCAGTATCTGGGAATGCTCCTGATCCTCGGTATTCAGGCTCTGAATTCCCAGAATTCCCACTGGGATGGTTTGGGATCTCCCTGGGAGGTTCCAGGGGGGTTGGGGATGGGTTCAGGGATGTTCCCAGGATTCCCATCCTGGTTTAATTCCCTGTTTTCCAGAGGCTGGAGCGCTGTGTGGGGGTCCTGAATTCCCACTGGGATTTTCCTGGGATCTCCCTGGGAGCTTTTCCAGGGGGTTTAGGGACGTTCCCAGGATCCGGGATGTTCCCAGGATTCCCATCCCGGTGTCATTCCCTGTTTTCCAGAGGCTGGAGCGCTGTGTTGGGATCGTGAATTCCCACTGGGATGGTTTGGGATCTCCCTGGGAGCTGTTCCAGGGGGTTCAGGGTCATTCCCAGGATCCAGGGATGTTCCCAGTTTCCCATCCTGGTTTAATTTTGTTAATCCATGTTTTAATTCCGTGTTTTCCAGAGGCTGGAGCGCTGTGTTGGGATCGTCACCTCCCTCACCTGCGGCCTCTCGGACAGGGAGGCCAACGATGCCCTCAACGCACACGTGAGAGTGGGGATGGGATGGGAATGTGGGAATGTGGGGATGGGAATGAGGGAATGGGAATGGGGTGGGAATGTGGGAAGGGGAATGGGGATGTGGGGATGGGAATGGGAATGTGGGAATGGGAATGGGGGAATGGGGATGTGGGAATGGGAATGGGAATGGGGGAATGGGAATGGGGAATGGGAATGGGAATGTGGGAATGGGGGAATGGGGGAATGGGAATGTGGGAATGTGGGAATGGGAATGGGAATGGGAATGGGGTGGGAATGGGGGAATGGGGTGGGAATGGAGTGGGAATGGGGTGGGAACAGGGAAGAGGAAGAGGGAAGAAGAACAGGGAAGAGGGAACAGGGAAGAGGAACAGGGAACTGGGAACAGGGAATAGGAAGAGGGAAGTGGGAAGAGGAAAGAGGAACAGTGAATTGGAAACTGGGAATAGGGAACTGGGAAGAGGAAGAGGGAAGTGGGAAGAGGGAGCATTCCCTGCCCTCCCCTTGGATCCCCTGGGAACCCCCCCTGGAAGGGGAAGTGGGAACAGGGAAGTGGGAATAGGGAATAGGGAAGTGGGAACAGGGAATAGGGAAGTGGGAACAGGGAATAGGGAAGTGGGAACTGGGAAGAGGGAAGTGGGAATAGGGAACTGGGAATAGGGTAGAGGAAGAGGGAAGTGGGAACAGGGAAGAAGAACAGGGAACTGGGAAGAGGGGAGTGGGAATAGGGAAGAGGAATAGGGAAGTGGGAATAGGGAAGTGGGAATAGGGAAGTGGGAAGAGGGAGCATTCCCTGGTGTCCCCTTGGATCCCCTGGAACCCCCCCTGGAAGGGGAAGTGGGAACTGGGAACAGGGAAGTGGGAATAGGGAACATTCCCTGGTGTCCCTTGGATCCCCTGGGAACCCCACCTGGAAGGGGAAGTGGGAACAGGGAATAGGGAAGTGGGAACTGGGAATAGGGAATAGGGAAGAGGGAAGGGGAAGTGGGAATAGGGAAGAGGAAGAGGGAAGTGGGAACAGGGAATAGGGAAGAAGAACTGGGAACAGGGAAGAAGAACAGGGAACTGGGAAGAGGGGAGTGGGAAGAGGGAAGAGGGAAGTGGGAACTGGGACCAGGGAATAGGGAAGTGGGAATAGGGAAGTGGGAATAGGGAGCATTCCCTGGTGTCCCTTGGATCCCCTGGAACCCCCCCTGTCTCCCCCAGATCTGCAAGGGGACCCCCCAGCACGAGGAGATTTGCCTGGGGCTCTTCACCCTGGTGCTGACAGAGCCCTCCCAGGCACAGAAGGTGAGGAATCCCGGGAAAAAACACCGGGAATTCACCCCCATTCCCCATCCTGGGGGGGTTTTCCTGCCTGGAATTCCCTGCTGGAAAAACTCCAGAGAGGAAAATTCCCGGCCTGGGGGTTGGGAATGTTCTGGGTGTGGAGCTGTGGGAAAAGCAGCTCAGGCTCCTTCCCATCCTGGGAATTCCTTGGATTTTCCACAGGGAAAATCCCCAAATTTTTAAGGAATTCCCAACCCCTTTCCCAGTTTTTTTGGGTTTTTTTTTCCTTGGATTTGGGAGACTTGGAATGTTGTTTTTCTTTCTTTTTTTGTGTGTGTATTTTTAATTTCTTGGGGAATCATCACCATTCCCAGGGGGAAAAAAACTGGGATTTCCCAGAGCTCCCCATTCCAGCAGATCCTGGATTGGATTGGGAATCAAAGCCCTCATTCCAAGCCTCTGGAATTCCCTCCTGGAAGCACAACCTGCTTTTCCCGGGGGGGGGAAAATCTTCAGGCCTGGATTTGTAGGGATCAGGTTTGTTTTCCATGGAATAAACCCTGGGAATGGCTCCAGGGGCAGCAAATCCAGCTGGGAAAACTTTCCTGGCTCATTCCTTTTTTTCCATGGATTTCCCCTCTGGAAAAGGGAGGGATCATTCCATGGATTTCCCTCTGGAAAAGGGATCCCTCTGGAAAAAGATCCCAAAAATCTGCTCAGAGATCCCAAAAATCTTCTCAGAGACCCCAAAAATCTGCTCAGAGATCCCAAAATCTTCACAGGGACCCCAAAAATCTTCACAGGGACCCCAAAAATCTTCACAGGGACCCCAAAAATCTGCTCAGAGACCCCAAAAATCTTCTCAGAGACCCCAAAAATCTTCTCAGGGACCCCCAAAAACCTCAAAAACCCCCCAAATTTTCACAGGGACCCCAAAAATCTTCACAGGGACCCCAAAAATCTGCTCAGAGACCCCAAAAATCTGCTCAGAGACCCCCAAAAACCTCAACCCTCCCCCCAAATCCTCACAGAGACCCCAAAAATCTTCACTGGGACCCCAAAAATCTGCTCAGGGACCCCCAAAAAACCTCAGACCCCCCCCAAATCTTCACAGGGACCCCAAAAATCTGCTCAGAGATCCCAAAAATCTTCACAGGGACCCCAAAAATCTTTACAGGAACCCCAAAAATCTGCTCAGAGATCCCAAAAATCTTCACAGGGATCCCAAAAATCTGCTCAGAGAACCCAAAAATCTTCACAGAGAACCCAAAAAACCTCAACCCTCCCCCCAAATCTTTTCAGGGACCCCAAAAATCTTCACAGGGACCCCAAAAATCTTCACAGAGACCCCAAAAATCTGCTCAGAGACCCCAAAAACCTTCACAGGGACCCCAAAAATCTTCACAGGGACCCCAAAAATCTTCCCAGGGATCCCAAAAATCTTCACAGGGACCCCAAAAATCTTCACAGAGACCCCAAAAATCTGCTCAGAGATCCCAAAATCTTCACAGGGACCCCAAAAATCTTCTCAGAGACCCCAAAAATCTGCTCAGAGATCCCAAAAATCTTCACAGGGACCCCAAAAATCTTCACAGGGACCCCAAAAATCTGCTCAGAGATCCCAAAAATCTGCTCAGAGATCCCAAAAATCTGCTCAGAGATCCCAAAAATCTTCACAGAGACCCCAAAATCTGCTCAGAGACCCCAAAAATCTTCACAGGGACCCCAAAAATCTGCTCAGGGATCCCAAAATCAGCTCAGAGACCCCAAAAATCTTCACAGGGACCCCAAAAATCTTCACAGAGACCCCAAAAATCTTCTCAGGGATCCCAAAAATCTGCTCAGAGACCCCAAAAATCTTCACAGGGACCCCAAAAATCTGCTCAGGGATCCCAAAATCAGCTCAGAGACCCCAAAAATCTTCACAGGGACCCCAAAAATCTTCACAGAGACCCCAAAAATCTTCTCAGGGATCCCAAAAATCTGCTCAGAGACCCCAAAAATCTTCACAGGGACCCCAAAAATCTGCTCAGGGATCCCAAAATCAGCTCAGAGACCCCAAAAATCTTCACAGGGACCCCAAAAATCTTCACAGGGACCCCAAAAATCTTCACAGAGACCCCAAAAATCTTCTCAGGGATCCCAAAAATCTGCTCAGAGACCCCAAAAATCTTCACAGGGACCCCCAAAAACCTCAACCCTCCCCCCAAATCTTCTCAGGGACCCAAAAATCTGCTCAGAGATCCCAAAAATCTTCACAGGGATCCCAAAAAACCTCAACCCTCCCCCAAATCTTCTCAAGGACCCCCAAAATCTTCACAGGGACCCCAAAAATCTTTACAGGGACCCCAAAAATCTGCTCAGAGACCCCAAAAATCTTCCCAGGAGCCTCCCTGGGATGATCCCAAACTCCTTTCCCCTCCTCCCAAAAATTCCAGCCTTGTTTTCCTTCCCTTTCCCTTCATTTAAAAGCTCATTAATCATTTTTTTTTGTTGTTAATTAAATTGTGTTGTTAATTAAAACATCCCCCCCAGGGCAGGAGGAGCCTCTGGATTGTGCCAGCCTGGCAGAAATCCCGGAATTCCGGCTCTCCCCCCTCATTCCTGGCAGGAATTTTCCCTCTGCCAGGGGGGTTTATTCCTGGGTTTTAATTTTTTTCCCAGTGTTTGGAAAAAAAATCCCTTAAATCAACACAAACAACCCCAAAATTCTTCTCATTTTTGGGATCTTGGGGTGTTTTTTTTAAAGTTTGGTTTTCCTGGGAATTCTGGGGGTGCTGGATGGGTTTATTCCTGTTTTTTTTGGGTTTTAGTTTGGTTTTCCTGGGAATTCTGGGGGTGTTGGATGGGTTTATTCCTGTTTTTTTTTTAAAGTTTGGTTTTCCTGGGAATTCTGGGGGTGTTGGATGGGTTTATTCCTGGTTTTTTTGGTTTTCCTGGGAATTCTGGGGGTGCTGGATGGGTTTATTCCTGGTTTATTCCTGGTTTTTTTGGTTTTTTTTTGGTTTTCCTGGGAATTCTGGGGGTGCTGGATGAGTTTATTCCTGGGTTTTTTTGGTTTTCCTGGGAATTCTGAGAGTGCTGGATGGGTTTATTCCTGGTTTATTCCTGGTTTTTTTTGTTTTCCTGGGAATTCTGGGGGTGCTGGATGAGTTTATTCCTGGTTTTTTTGGGTTTTTTTTCCCCAGATTGGAGGGGATGTGAGAAAAGGGGGGAGAGTTTTTCCCATTTTCCACCCCCTTTTCCAGCCTTTTTTTCCCCATTTCCCCCCCCTTTTCCAGGTTGTTTTTTCCCATTCCCCACCCCCTTTTCCAGCCTTTTTTCCCATTCTCCACCCCCTTTTCCAGGCTCTTTCCCCCTATTTTCCCCCTCCTTTTCCAGACTGGTTTTCCTCTGTTTTCCATGCCCTTTTCCAGCCTTTTTTTCCCCATTCTCCCCCCTTTTTCCAGACTATTTTTTCCCATTCCCCTCCCCCCTTTTCCAGGCTGATTTTCCACCCCCTTTTCCAGCCTTTTTTTCCCCATTCTCCCCCCTTTTTCCAGACTATTTTTTCCCATTCCCCTCCCCCCTTTTCCAGGCTGATTTTCCACCCCCTTTTCCAGCCTTTTTTCCCCATTCTCCCCCTTTTCCAGGCTCTTTTCCCCTGTTTTCCTCCCCCTTTTCCAGCCTTTTTTTCCCACTCTCCCCCCCCTTTTCCATGCTGATTTTCCCATTCTTCCCCCCCCTTTTCCAGACTATTTTTTCCCTCTCCCCCTTTTCCAGCCTTTTTTTCCCATTCTTCCCCCCCTTTTCCAGGCTGGTTTTCCCCTGTTTTCTCCATCCTTTTCCAGTCTGTTTTTTCCCCTGTTTCCCCCCACTTTTCCAGGATGATTTTCCCACTCCCCCCTTTTCCAGACTATTTTTCCCCTCTCCCCCCTTTTCCAGGCATTTTTCCCACTTTCCCTGCCCTTTTCCCGCAGTGCTACCGGGACCTGGCCTGGTGAGCCGGGATGGGATGAGCACATCGTGCTCAACAAGATCAACCACATCCTGATGGAGAAGTACCTAAGCTGCAGGACACCTGTCGGTTTACAGGTCAGGAAAAGCAGGGAATCTTCTCCTCAGGGAGCAGGGAATGGGGCTGGGAATTGGGGGAACCCTTGGGAATGGGAATTTTGGGGGCTGGGGGTGGGAATGGAGGGGCTGATCCTGAATCCCTGCTGGATCTGATCCTGAATCCTGGCTCGACTCTGATCCCAAATCCCTGCCTGGATCTGATCCCAAATCCCTGCCTGGATCCAATCCCAAATCCCTACCTGCTCTGATCCCAAATCCCTGCCTGGATCTGATCCCAAATCCCTGCCTGGATCTGATCCCAAATCCCTGCCTGGATCTGATCCCAAATCCCTGCCTGGATCCAATCCCAAATCCCTGCCTGGATCCAATCCCAAATCCCTGCCTGCTCTGATCCCAAATCCCTGCCTGCTCTGATCCCAAATCCCTGCCTGGATCCAATCCCAAATCCCTGCCTGGATCTGATCCCGAATCCCTGCCTGGATCCAATCCAAATCCTGCCTGGATCTGATCCCAAATCCCTGCCTGCTCTGATCCCAAATCCCTGCCTGCTCTGATCCCAAATCCCTGCCTGCTCTGATCCCAAATCCCTGCCTGGATCTGATCCCAAATCCCTGCCTGGATCCAATCCCAAATCCCTGCCTGGATCCAATCCCAAATCCCTGCTGGATCTGATCCCAAATCCCTGCCTGCTCTGATCCCAAATCCCTGCCTGCTCTGATCCCAAATCCCTGCCTGGATCCAATCCCAAATCCCTGCCTGGATCCAATCCCAAATCCCTGCTGGATCTGATCCCAAATCCCTGCCTGGATCTGATCCCAAATCCCTGCCTGGATCCAATCCCAAATCCCTGCCTGCTCTGATCCCAAATCCCTGCCTGGATCTGATCCCAAATCCCTGCCTGGATCAATCCCAAATCCCTGCCTGGATCTGATCCCGAATCCTGCCTGGATCTGATCCCAAATCCCTGCCTGGATCCAATCCCAAATCCCTGCCTGGATCCAATCCCAAATCCCTGCCTGCTCTGATCCCAAATCCCTGCCTGGATCTGATCCCAAATCCCTGCCTGGATCCAATCCCAAATCCCTGCCTGGATCTGATCCCAAATCCCTGCCTGGATCTGATCCCAAATCCCTGCCTGGATCTGATCCCAAATCCCTGCCTGGATCCAATCCCAAATCCCTGCCTGGATCTGATCCCGAATCCCTGCCTGGATCTGATCCCAAATCCCTGCCTGGATCCAATCCCAAATCCCTGCCTGGATCCAATCCCAAATCCCTGCCTGCTCTGATCCCAAATCCCTGCCTGGATCCAATCCCAAATCCCTGCCTGCTCTGATCCCAAATCCCTGCCTGGATCCAATCCCAAATCCCTGCCTGGATCTGATCCCAAATCCCTGCCTGGATCCAATCCCAAATCCCTGCCTGCTCTGATCCCAAATCCCTGCCTGCTCTGATCCCAAATCCCTGCTGGATCCGATCCCAAATCCCTGCTGGATCCAATCCCAAATCCCCCATTCCAGCTGGTGTGGCTGCTCCGGGAGCTGGTGAAGAGCGGAGTGTTGGGAGCCGACGGGGTCTGCATGACCTTCATGAAGCAGATCGCGGGTGAGGCACCGGGAATGCACCTGGATACACCGGGAATGCACCGGGATACACCGGGAATGCACCGGGATACACTGGGATCACACCGGGATCACACTGGGATACACTGGGATCACACTGGGATACAGCAGGATCACACTTGGATACACTGGGATACACCAGGATCACACTGGGATACACTGGGATACACTGGGATACACTGGGATCACACTGGGATACACTGGGATACACTGGGATACACTGGGATACACTGGGATCACACTGGGATAACACCAGGATCGCACTGGGATACACTGGGATCACACTGGGATACACTGGGATACACTGGGATACACTGGGATCACACCTGGATACACTGGGATACACTGGGATCACACCTGGATACACTGGGATTGCACTGGGATACACCAGGATGCACTGGGATACACCAGGATGCACTGGGATACACCAGGATGCACTGGGATCACACTGGGATACACTGGGGTACACTGGGATACACTGGGATACACTGGGATCACACCTGGATACACTGGGATACACTGGGATCACACTGGGATTGCAATGGGATACACCAGGATTGCACCTGGATACACTGGGATAATGCTGAGATCACACCTGGATACACACCCAGATACACCAGGATTGCACTGGGATACACTGGGATCACACCAGGATTGCACTGGGATACACTGGGATCACACTGGGATACACTGGGATCGCACTGGGATACACCAGGAATGCACTGGGATACACCAGGAATGCACTGGGATACACTGGGATTGCACTGGGATACACTGGGATCACACTGGGGTACACCAGGAATGCACTGGGATACACTGGGATACACCGGGATACACTGGGAATGCACTCAGGCACACCAGGATCACACTGGGATACACTGGGATTACCCTGGGATCACACCAGGAATGCAATGGGATACACTGGGATCACACCGGGATAACACTGGGATACACTGGGATTGCACTGGGATCACACCTGGATACACTGGGATCACACTGGGATACACCAGGATGCACTGGGATACACTGGGATCACACTGGGATACACTGGGATACACTGGGATCACACTGGGATACACTGGGATTGCACTGGGATCACACTGGATACACTGGGATACACTGGGATACACCGGGATCACACTGGGATACACTGGGATCGCACTGGGATTGCACTGGGATACACTGGGATCACACTGGGATACACTGGGATCACACTGGGATACACTGGGATTGCACTGGGATACACTGGGATTACACTGGGATCACACTGGGATACACTGGGATTGCACCGGGATACACTGGGATCACACCGGGATACACTGGGATTGCACTGGGATACACTGGGATACACTGGGATCACACTGGGATTGCACTGGGATACACTGGGATACACTGGGATCGCACTGGGATTGCACTGGGATCACACTGGGATACACTGGGATTGCACTGGGATACACTGGGATACACTGGGATCGCACTGGGATACACTGGGATCACACTGGGATACACTGGGATCACACCTGGATACACTGGGATTGCACTGGGATCACACCGGGATAACACTGGGATACACTGGGATCACACTGGAGTACACCAGGATTGCACTGGGATACACCGGGATTACACCTGGATACACTGGGAATGCACCCGGATACACTGGGATCACACTGGGATACACTGGGATCACACTGGGATCACACTGGGGTACACCAGGATTGCACTGGGATACACTGGGATCACACTGGGATACACTGGGATACACTGGGATTGCACTGGATACACTGGGATACACTGGGATACACTGGGATTGCACTGGATACACTGGGATTGCACTGGGATACACTGGGATACACTGGGATCACACTGAGATACACTGGGATTGCACTGGGATACACTGGGATCACACTGGGATACACTGGGATTGCACTGGGATCACACTGGATACACTGGGATACACTGGGATACACACTGGGATTGCACTGGGATACACTGGGATCACACTGGGATACACCAGGATCCCAAAATCCCAGAGCTCTCCCCCCATCCCGCGGCTTTTCCAGGCGGGGACGTGACAGCCAAAAACATCTGGCTGGCCGAGAACGTCCTGGAGATCCTGACCGAGCAAAGGTACGGAAAACAGGGATCATCCCATCCCATCCCATCCCATCCCATCCCATCCCATCCCATCATTCCAATCCCATCCCATCCCATCAATCCCATCCATCCCATCCCATCAATCCCATCCCATCCCATCATTCCCATCCCATCCCATCCCATCCCATCCCATCATTCCCATCCCATCCCATCCCATCCCATCCCATCCCATCCCATCAATCCATCCCATCCATCAATCCCATCCATCCATCATCCATCCCATCCCATCCATCCCATCCATCATCCCATCCCATCCCATCCCATCCATCATCCAATCCCATCCATCCCATCCCATCCATCCCATCCCATCCCATCCCATCCCATCCCATCCCATCACATCCCATCCCATCCCATCCATCCCATCCCATCCCATCCCATCCCATCCCATCCATCAATCCCATCCCATCCCATCCCATCCCATCCCATCCCATCCCATCCCATCCCATCCCATTCCATCCCATCCCATCCCATCCCATCCATCCCATCCCATCCCATCCCATCCCATCATCCATCCATCCATCCATTCCATCCCATCCCATCCATTCCATCCCATCCCATCCCATCCCATCCCATCCATCCCATCCCATCCATCTATCCCATCCCATCCCATCCCATCATCCCATCAATCCCATCCCATCCCATCATCCTATCCATCCCATCCATCCATCCCATCCCATCCCATCCATCCCATCCCATCCCATCCATCCCATCTATTCCATCCCATCCCATCCCATCCCATCCCATCCATCCCATCCCATCCCATCCCATCCCATCCCATCCCATCCCATCCATCCCATCCATCATCCCATCCATCCCATCCCATCCATCATCCCATCCCATCCATTCCATCATCCCATCCCATCCCATCCATCCCATCCCATCCCATCCCATCAATCCCATCCCATCCCATCCCATCCCATCCCATCCCATCCCATCCCATCCCATCCCATCCCATCCATCCCATCCCATCCATCCCATCCATCCAATCCCATCCCATCCATCAATCCCATCACATCCCATCAATCCCATCCCATCCCATCCCATCCCATCCCATCCCATCCCATCCCTGTATCCCATCCATCCCATCATTCCAATCCCATCCCATCATTCCCATCATTCCAATCCCATCCCATCCCATCAATCCCATCCCATCATTCCAATCCCATCCCATCAATCCCATCCCATCAATCCCATCCCATCCCATTATTCCCATCCCATCCCACCCCACCCTCCAGGGAGGGGTTCCTGCCCTTCCCACCATTCCCAAATGCCCATCCCACCATTCCCAAGGAAGAATTCCAAGCTCTTTCCTGCACATTTTGTGACAAAAACATCCCCAAATCCCATTTTTTCCCCCCCCCAAATCCCAAAAATCCCTCCCTGGGTGGGGCCTCCTTCCACAGGGAACGTTTCCTTCCCGAATTTCCTCTGGATCTGGGAGGGGGAGGGATTGGGAGGGAGGAATTTCTTTGGGATGTCCTTGGATCGCTCCCAAATTTCCTGCCTTTCATCCGGCTCCGGGACGGGCCCAGCTGGGAAGTTCATCCCGAGTTCTCCCGGCGGGAATTCCAGAGGGAGGGGTTGGGGAGGGGCTGGAATAGCAGGGAGCAATCCCTGAAATCTGGGAATTGTCTGAGGTTGGGATTGGGATCCTTCCCAACCCATCCCATGATCCCATAAATCCCACAAATCCCACAAATCCCCTCCCTATCCCGATTCCCACTGATTGATTCCCAGTGGGAATTGTCTGAGGTTGGGATTGGGGTCCTTCCCAACCCATCCCAGGATCCCACAAATCCCTGCCCTTCTCGATTCCCAGTGATTGATTCCCGGTGGGAATTGCCTGAGGTTGGAATTGTGGCCCTTGGGGTCCTTCCCAACCCATCCCATGATCCCATAAATCCCACAAATCCCATAAATCCCTGCCCTGTCCCAATTCCTGGTGATTGATTCCCAGTGGGAATTGCCTGAGGTTGGAATTGGGGTCCTTCCAACCCATCCCATGATCCCACAAATCCCACAAATCCCTGCCCTATCCCAATTCCTGCTGATTGATTCCATGTGGGAATTGTCTGAGGTTGGAATTGGGGCCCTTGGGATCCTTCCCAATCCATCCCATGATCCCACAAATCCCACAAATCCCACAAATCCCTGCCCTGTCCCAATTCCTGGTGATTGATTCCATGTGGGAATTGTCTGAGGTTGGAATTGGGGTCCTTCCCAACCCATCCCATAAATCCCATAAATCCCTGCCCTGTCCTGATTCCCAGTGATTGATTCCCAGTGGGAATTGCCTGAGGTTGGGATTGGGATCCTTCCCAACCCATCCCACCATCCCATAAATCCCACAAATCCCTGCCCTTCCCGATTCCCACTGATTGATTCCATGTGGGAATTGCCTGAGGTTGGAATTGTGGCCCTTGGGGTCCTTCCCAACCCATCCCATGATCCCATAAATCCCACAAATCCCTGCCCTGTCCCGATTCCTGCTGATTGATTCCCGATGGGAATTGTCTGAGGTTGGGATTGGGGTCCTTCCCAACCCATCCCACCATCCCAGGATCCCATAAATCCCTTCCCTGTCCCGATTCCCGCTGATTATCCCACCCAGGCCGCAATTCCCGTTGGGAATTCCCTCTGGAATTGTCTCCCTGCAGGGAGTGGGTGCTGAGGAGCATCTGCTGGTGGCCCCAGATGAGCTTTGGGCTCCATCCCATGATCCCACCATCCCATAAATCCCTTCCCTGTCCCCTCCCACCTCATTTATCCCACCCAGGCCGTGATTCCCGTTGGGAATTCCCTCTGGAATTGTCCCCCCACAGGGAGTGGGTGCTGAAGAGCAGCCTGGAAGTTGAACCAGTTGAGCTTTGGGCTCCATCCCATGATCCCAGGATCCCATAAATCCCCTCCCTATCCCAATTCCCATTATTATCCCACTCCAGCCCACGATTCCCATTGGGAATTCCCTCTGGAATTGTCTCCTGGCAGGGATTGGGTGCTGAAGAGCAGCCTGCTGGTGGAACCAGGACCCCAAAATGTCCCTCCCAACCCCATCCCACCATCCCAGGATCCCATAAATCCCCTCCCTGTCCCGATTCCCGCTGATTGTCCCACCCCAGGCCGTGATTCCCGTTGGGAATTCCCTCTGGAATTGTCTCCCTGCAGGGAATTCCCTCTGGAATTGTCTCCTGGCAGGGAGTGGGTGCTGAGGAGCATCTACAGGTGGAACCAGATGAGCTTTGGGCTCCATCCCATGATCCCAGGATCCCATAAATCCCTTCCTTGTCCCGATTCCCGCTGATTATCCCACCCAGCCCACAATTCCCGTTGGGAATTCCCTCTGGAATTGTCTCTTGGCAGGGAGTGGGTGTTGAGGAGCATCTGCAGGTGGAACCAGGACCCCAAAGTGTCCCTCCCAACCCCATCCCACCATCCCAGGATCCCATAAATCCCCTCCCTATCCCAATTCCCGTTATTATCCCACTCCAGCCCACAATTCCCATTGGGAATTCCCTCTGGAATTGTCCCCCCACAGGGATTGGGTGCTGAAGAGCAGCCTGGAAGTTGAACCAGGACACTTTGGGGTCCCTCCCAACCCCATCCCACCATCCCAGGATCCCATAAATCCCCTCCTTGTCCCCTCCCACCTCATTTATCCCACCCAGGCCGCGATTCCCGTTGGGAATTCCCTCTGGAATTGTCTCCCAGCAGGGAATTCCCTCTGGAATTGTCTCTTGGCAGGCAGTGGGTGCTGAAGAGCAGCCTGCAAGTTGAACCAGGACCCCAAAGTGTCCCTCCCAACCCCATTCCACCATCCCAGGATCCCATAAATCCCCTCCCCATCCCAATTCCCGTTATTATCCCACTCCAGCCCACGATTCCCGTTGGGAATTCCCTCTGGAATTGTCCCCCCACAGGGATTGGGTGCTGAAGAGCAGCCTGCTGGTGGCCATGGCCGTTTACACCTACCTGAGGCTGCTGGTGGATCACCACGGAACCCCCCAGCTCCAGGGGCTGCGCCAGAAGGAGGTGGAATTCTGCATCTCCCTGCTCCGGGAACGGGTGAGAAACCTGGAAAACCAGGAAAGAATTCCCAATTTTCCCCCAGGGAGGTGGAATTCTGCATCTCCCTGCTCCGGGAACGGGTGAGAAACCGGGAAAACCAGGAAAGAATTCCCAATTTTCCCCCAGGGAGGTGGAATTCTGCATCTCCCTGCTCAATTCGGGATATCCCCCAGGGAGGTGGAATTTCTGAAATCCAGGAAAGAATTCCCAATTTTCCCCCAGGGAGGTGGATTCTGCATCTCCCTGCTCCAGGAAAACCAGGAAAGAATTCCCAATTTTCCCCCAGGGAGGTGGATTTTGCATCTCCCTGCTCAAGGAACGGGTGTAAACCTGGAAAAACTGGGAAAGAATTCCCAATTTTCCCCCAGGGAGGTGGAATTCTGCATCTCCCTGCTCCGGGAACGGGTGAGAAACCGGGAAAGAATTCCCAATTTTCCCTCAGGGAGGTGGATTTTGCATCTCCCTGCTCAGGGAATGGGTGTAAATGTTGAAAAACTGGGAAAGAATTCCCAATTTTCCCCCAGGGAGGTGGATTCTGCATCTCCCTGCTCCAGGAAAACCAGGAAAGAATTCCCAATTTTCCCCCAGGGAGGTGGATTTTGCATCTCCCTGCTCAGGGAATGGGTGTAAATGTTAAAAAACCGGGAAAGAATTCCCAATTTTCCCTTAGGGAGTTGATGGAAGGGTTGGAAAACCCTCCTGGATCCCTCAAAATCCCACCCTAATCCCGAATTTGGGGCTGAATCCCCCCCCAAATCCCTCATTCCCAACTTCCCCAAGATCCTGGAAATGTGGGGGAGGAGAGAGGGAAAAACTGGGATATTTAGGAGCTGATTTTTCCCTCTGGGAAAGGGGAGAACATTCCCAAATTTCTCTTTATTTCCTGCTTTTTTCCCTGTGTTCCTTAATCCCAGGGGGGGTTGGGAATACCAGGATCAGGAATAAACCATGGGAATAAAAAATCTGCTCCTCCCTCTCCTTCTCCTCCTTTCAGATGCCCAAAAAACCAGGAATATTTTTATTTTTCCTTATTTTTTTCCCTGTGTTCCTTAATCCCAGGGGGGGTTGGGAATGCCAGGATCAGGAATAAACCATGGGAATGGAAAATCTCCTCCTCCCCCTCCTTCTCCTCCTTTCAGATGCCCAAAAAACCAGGAATATTTTTATTTTTCCTTATTTTTTTCCCTGTGTTCCTTAATCCCAGGGGGATTTTGGGAATGCCAGGATCAGGAATAAACCATGGGAATAAAAAATCTGCTCCTCCCTCTCCTTCAGATGCCATCCAGTGAGAGGGAATTCCAGGGGTGGGAGAGGGAATTCCAGGGGTGGGAGTGGGAATTCCAGGGGTGAGAGAGGGAATTCCAGGGGTGGGAG